ATGAATGATTGATACTCTGGTTAAATAGGATGAACTTACTGTCGATTGCTTGGCTTATTAATTTCCCATTTTTGTATTTGTTTTTAAATTTTTTCCATTTTGCACTGAAAAAAAAAAGATATGAACCAATTTATGCTTTGACAATTATGATGACCTTATTGTTGATTAATTTTCCATTTTTTGGTTGTTTGCCTTATTTGTTCTTTTCCATTTTTTTTGTTTTGCATTTATGTATGGTTTTGCATTTTATTTTTCTATTTTGATGAGGATTGCTTTATTTGTATCTTTTCATTTTTGTGTTATTCATTCTGCTTATTTCTTCCAGTCGTTTGTGAATTGAAGAATGTTTCCTGATGTAGTTACAATGAAAATCTGCTTGCATGTTGCATGTAGCCGCTGACATGTGCACTGTGCTGCCGGAGGTGTTCATCCACCCCTACAAATTATTGAACTCAGGTGCCCCACTCTCTTCCATAGCTACGGGTGCATGCAATCAACCACCCAGGCGACAGTTGTGAAAGGATCAGTCACTCTGAGGATCTCAACAAACTCCAGCGTGGTGCCATGATGGGATGCCACTGGCGCAGTGGGTCTAGTCCTGACACTTCATGTGACCTGCAGAGTGGCCCTACCCTGGGACATGGAGAGCTCCCTGAAAGGGGGCTCCAAGGTTGAACTGCCACACCCACACCAACACCACCAAGTACGATGCAGGGCATTGGCTCATGAGGTGAAATTGCTTTTCAGGAACTGTGCTTGGTCTCTTAGATCCAGTAAAAAGGACTCTTGAGGCTTCAACATACCAAGACATTTAAACAGCCTCCCACTCCAGGACTCCATGAACAATCTCCACAGAGGAGTGGAAGCTGTTTTAAGTGGGCCAGCACCAATGTGGGTGGGCCCTATGGGTCAAGAATCGGCTGTGACTCATGGTCCTTTGCATGAGAAAACAGGTGGACAGATGCTTTTGGTAACACAGTGTTGTATGTTAGCAGTGAATACATGTTTACATTACACTGAGATTCCAAAAGGGGGCCTTATGCTTCCTCTGGCTGGATGACTGATTTGTTTCTGACATTCAGGTCAGTCCCCAAATACAATTTATGATTCTCTACTGTTTTTTTGATTGACATGATAAAATCATGTCAAAAGGGGGAATTGTAAGATTGAAGTCTTATAGACTCTAGTTACTTTATAAGCTTTAGTTACTTCTCATAACTTTAGTACCCTTTAGGTACCTTTCATAAGTTTATTTTCTTTGTTTATACATATTACAGCTGTATTGATGATTGTCCAGAACTGCTGAGCTTTGGTTACTTTTTATAACATTTATTTTCCTTGCTTATATGTCTTACACTTGTAATGAGGTAGAATCCGCTTACTTTCTGCAACTTCTGAACGTCTGCATCCCCCAGGCATCCAGACAGTCTATTTACATTTTAACAAAGCCATTCACATTTTAATTTTCACACTGAGAGTATGTATATGCTTGTACAGTCTCACAGGGCTTGGCTGTAGTGCATATTTCACTCTACAGGGAACACACACACTCAAATTTACTGACACGCATGCATGCCCTCACACCACACACACACACACACACACACACGGACACAGATGCACACAGACATCCATCTTCATAGGCAATGTACACAGACATCCATCTTCACAGGCAAGCCAGTCATTCATTTCAGCATCAACGTTGGCCCACACTCACTATTATGTTAGTATTCATGCACTGTGTGTATGAATCCCAGAGAGAGAAAGGGAAGTGGGAGACCAAACAAGTGAAAGACTACTGGCTGAGGGAACATTGGGTTCCCATAGCATGCTATGCAATGAGATTGTTGAGTTCATGTGCGAACCTAGTTTGGCCTGCAACTTAGGCCACCCTTTGATCTCTGGTGTGAAATATTGAAGTATTTGGGTTGCTATATAGCTAAAGCACTAACATAGTTTGGAAATTGTTACTTTAATAAGACACTGCATTATGAGACAAAAGTATAACCTTCACATGGTTGTAGTGTGTGTGAATTCACTTCATTATAAGATGCACTTGTAAGGAGTTGTGCTTAGCACAGCCCTGCTCCAAGGGAG